CGTAGGATTTAGGTATTCACTTCGTCAACAGGCATTCTGACCTTTCTACAGCTAATAACGTCTTTTATGAATAAGTACACTACGCTCAAAGATGGAAATACTTAACGCAGCAGGCTTCAAGCAGTCACACATCGGGCCGGTCGCAGACAGGAGGACTTAAATTGACGCAGTAGGCTTTCAAAGAAAACGTCGGAGCTGGTCCTTATGGTACTTTGTGGACAAGAGCCCCTTTTGGACAAGAAACTAACTGCCCATCGCAAAGCAAACGGGGGCCCAGGCAACGCTCAGTACTTCTGAACTGCTTCCTGGAACTCGCATGTTTAATTCTATTGGCAGAAGCATTGGGATCGACCTTCAAGTGCACACGTGCTAGTGGCCGCGTGAGGCAAACTGAAAACTGCAATCACGTGACCTCATGCATGAAGTGTCGTTGGAGGTAGAAGGCGCTGCAGGGTAACTACATATGTACTAAGTCTGAGGCGGAGAAGGTTTGCCTATGTTTTTGGTTTGCTATATGTTTTGTGGGAGCAACATTAAGCGACGTAAGTCCCGATTATATGCGCGCCGCAGGACGGCTGTACTTTTTTTCTGAATTCTCGCGTGTATAGATTTGACGGTCATATTATGGGCCGGTCGCAGATAAGATAACTAACTCTGGCGCGACTTTTGAAAAATGGTGGAACTGGTCGTTATGGTTTTTTGTGGATAATAGCTCCCTTTGCACAAAAAACTTACCGGCGACCCCAAAGCGCACTATGACTTAGACTAGGGAGGCAACGAGGCTGGTGGAATAACCATTACGGGAGCAAATGGAATGAGGTTTAATGAGAAAGAAGGGTTATCGAACACCGGATCAATTTGTTTATTTGTCCTGCGTTTTCGGGCTCGTCCAGGAGTCCATCATCAGAGATAAAATCGTCCACAAAAAACAAGCAACACTAACAGGGGGCAGGCGCTAATCAACCGCTATACAGGGATGGTTATGGAGGTAGTGGTCGGAAAGTATGATAAATTGGACAGGTGGACAGTACAGATCAATATGAAAACCAGGTGCAGAAGGAAAGTGACATGCGCACATTTGCTGAAGTGATTGATCCAAAAAAAGTCTCTACTTCTGGGTTTGTCATACTCTTAGAAGCCGCAGGTAAGTCTCTGAAACCTCGCAGGTATGGCGCGATACCTCTGACTTGAAATGAACATTTCGTTTAAATGGGTGTCATTAATAAAGGAGTCTTCAGTAAAATCGCTTTCAATAGGACGCCCACGCTTCCTAAGTGGACCGGCAGCTTGCATCAATTTGTTGTCGGTGTTGGGTGCCCTTGATTGCGGCATCCTGTCTACTGACAGACAGCATATCAAATTGCCAGCAGCCAGTGGGATTGCCAAGTCAGCGATCAGCGCGATTAGGTCTGATTCACTTTGCCTATGCTGCCAAGCATGACTTAGCTCCCCTCCAATCACGCTCCTGACTAATCCTCGCTAGATCCGCCCACACTGTGCACTTGTCCGCCCACGCGGTGTCGGTAGGCTTGCTGTTGGAACCGCTCGCAGCCAATCAGCGTGCATAATTTCACTGACTAGCCGCAGGCAACAACGGACATGCTCCGGCGTCAAGTAATGCACATATATCTGACAAACTGCTTTTGTCCACTCCAAAAGGCTATGCGTTGCTAGCTAGAAATTATAATACGAAAAAGCAAGGGAAATGTACTGGAGTAAAATATAGCCCATATATTATTTAGGAACTAGAAGCCTTTTCAAGCTTTTACAGGCAAAATACCCATTCGGCAATACTCGAGTAGGCCTCATTATTCCCTAGGATGCATAAACGATGCATAAGATAGCACATGGACCTACAGGGATACAGCTGCATGTCTGCTAGAGGAGGTTTTTTTTGTAGCTATAGTTATACGAGAGGTATACGCCGGCACGCGAATTAACGGGGAGACCTCAGGGTCGAACTAGAACTCCATACCAAGGAACACTTGATTCTGGCAGGTTATGAACACACAATGGCACTGAAAACGCTCGAAATTATGCCAGAATTTAAAGAACGATGTTAAACAAATAGTTATCGATTAACGGCAATATGTATAAAATTAACAAAAAAGGAAAGTTATGCTTATACAAAGAAACTGGTAACCAGTTTCTTTGTATAAAAATAACTTTCCTCTGGTCAGCACTTAATACCTATTACCACTTCAAATTAAGAAAATATTTACATGTATTATCGGAAAAATTTTCTGTTTGTCAACGAACACACAGCACTTCTTATACTTCTTTTACATTTTACATTTGCCTAATGGTGTTCATTATTATTGCTAAGTTTTCGTTAATGCTTTCACGCCGCTACGCGAGTAATGATCAAACTTTTACAAATGTACCGGCATAATCGATAAGATATACGTCTATATAATACGTTTTTTTTTT